GCGTCTGAAGTCCTCCTTAGTGAGGAGACACAAGGCTCTGCCGTTCATCTCAAAGCGCCCCTTCTCCGGCCGGCGCAGCGAGTACTCCTTTTGAGCCCAGTGGAGCCACAGGGAAACATCATCTTTATCCCACAGGGACGGGTTAATTCCTGGAAACAATAAATGCATCATTTCAAATCAAATGTGCTTGTAGAAGGTGCTGCATGTGCGTATTTGCAGTCATATCTGCAATTAATATTAACAGATAAGTAGAACAGAGAGGATCATTTAACTCACTCAGCCTTCCAGGCAGATGCCACAAGTCTTCTTGAGTGGGAGGACTGACCAAAGGATCGTGGGTAGGTGGGGAGTGATGCACAGTGGGGTAAATGTTGACTTGCCTTTCACGTATAATCGATGGAGGACTGTTTTCTTGCTACAAAACATCAATACAAACGGCTTTAGTCACACTCAGCAGTTTTTGGAGCAGCAGCAACAGAGAGCATAAACAACAGCTGCTGGTCGCCGTCCAGCGACTAAAGCACGAAGCTCAAACACAAACTGAGTCGGATTCCAGGTTTATGGTTTAGACCACACAGCTTTAAAAGATTTGCCCCCGAAAGACTCACTTACCTTGATCAAAGGTGACGGGGAAACGCTCTCCATGGAAATGTCCTTTAATCTGCTCGACTGCACAGAAAATCGATTTCCTCATAAGCAGAATGAAAAAAAACTTCACGTCTCAAACAAAACTCACTTTTGAACGAAAACCCTCGAAGATTTTTTTAAACGCCACTATTTTCACAATCGACCCTTCCGGGAAATGAAAACGAAAGAAATATAATCCCTGCAGGGGGGTGTGTGCGAAATAGGATGATTGGAGGAAGCAACGACGGAGGACATTTCCAAAACCTCTGACTGCACTTGTTTAGACACGCAGGAGTATATTTACAGAAGCGCTGCAACAGACGCTCTCGTTCATAAATGAAATGTGGTGGGAGGGTGACACCTATTTTTGTTTTTTGAATAGTTTTTATTTCTCTTTCTTTCTTTTTCGCTATTACGCAACACGTGAGCGGTAACCCGTGTGGCCAGAAAATACAAGAAAACTACAGGAAGTGGTCGATGGATGATAAGAAGTGCCAGAGTGTAAAACTATAAAGGTGTAGGACACCCCAGGACGGAGCAGCGCGTGCGCAAGCACAAGCTCCTCCCACTACCAGGAAGACTAAACTGGCGTGGCTGAGAGCCGACGAGCGTTGACCGTAAACGAAAGTAGGTAAGCGCTTTATCCGGGCAACTGGCACCGAGAGTCAGAAGAGCAGCCATGTTGTCGTGTACGTGTATGAACTGCGGTGCGTGAGGGCGCCGTCAGCTGTTTGTCCTGAACGGAGAAACATGATCAGATACTCTGATTAGTCTGTAAATCTACAAGTTCAAGTGCTCAACTTTAATTGACTGTTTATTAACAGTAATAACAATGTTAATAAACTTCTGCTTGGCTTAAAAACAAATCAGCGGATTAAACATTAACTGCGCAACAAATAATGACAAGCAAAGTCCAGCCACACTGTGAGGAAGTAGAGCGA